TGCCTGATACATGTTACGTAGAAATTCTCCGTGCCCGGTTCAACACTGGCTCTGAGATTCGACAGTACAACACCCCGATTTTCAAACTCTACTATGTCGGCATTCAACGGCTTCACTGACCTCGCGGTCTGTTCCGGGAGTAGCAGTTTTCGGTCTACGAAGAACAGTTGTCGGGCCGTGAAGTTGTCCATCACAATCACACCTTCCATTTCGTAAGATTGACCCAGTAGTAAGTCCCCCTCGCCACTTTCGTCTACGATTATGAAAGGAATGCAAGTAATCAATCCTCCTTCGACAACTTTCTCAGAACGGTATGCTACCCTAGCATTGTCACCCCTACGTAGTGCAGTAATCTGTTTTTCGATCAGTGTGAGTAATGAAATTATGTTGTTTGCGCGGCACTCACCTCTTCATTTAACTCGAAAACCCCTTTACATCGCATAGTCAATGGTTCGCAACTGTGAATTCCCGTTGTTTGTTTCATGATGTGTTTAAATAGAGTTTTATGGGTGAAAAAAAAATCGGTTCCGCACATTCTTGTATAGTATCCTGTGCTTCTTGCTTTATATGTTTCTGCGATTTAATTTTCGGCCTAGGCTTCGTCTGCATGGGTCGTCACAGCCATTTTAACGTGTTGCCACGTCTGCCATCTTGCGCCGCGATGCCGTTGAAGGCGGACCACTGCCACAGTTGTAATTTGAGAGTTTAGATCATAAACGATATGTTGCGCGCCCCACGCCATTCATAATAACCATCTCCGATGGCTGCGCGAGCTCAGCCCGTAATACACTTAGTGTCACCGCGGCATCAACTCAGAGTCGTATGGGTATTAGACACTCAGGGCGCGGAGGCTTGCACCAGTGCGAGGCACCAATCACTGTGTATATTGCATTTACAAAAGTACATCATGAAAAACAATGTTTTTAGTACTTGCGCTCCTTACATCTTTGGACATGCACACCAATACCTTGTCTGCTCTAGTGCACCTCGACAGCGCGACGTAAAGTTGCCCATGTGAGAAAACTGGACTTGGCAGAAAGACTACGACGTTATCTACGCTTTGTCCCTGGGACTTGTTTACTGTCATGCAAAACGCCGGAGCAATAGGATATTGGAATCTGTAAAATGGCAAAGGACAGGCCGCGCCGCCTGTATGGTGCAAGTTGATTCTCGGCATTGTCACTAATTTACCAACGCGACTCCCGGTGATGATTCGGCACGATAGTATCCTACGGCAAATGTGAGTTATAACCATCCGAGTTCCGTTGCAGAGTCCTCGCTTCATGTTCAGATTTCGCAACAGGATCACGGGCATTCCCGCTTTCAATCGTAAAGAATGAACCGGGAAGTTCGGAATTGTGAACGTGTTGAGAATTTCTGGAGTTAACGGTTCACATGTTGTTGTATCGTCATTTGAGTCAATCGATTCCGAGAGGTACACATCTCCTTGTAAACTATCTATTACCTCGTCATTGATTGCAGTGACATATTTATTCAGCGGAGTGACAATGCAACGATTTGCGTAGTAAGCCGCTAAGTTGGTCCATTCTCCAGTCTGTATCAGCTGGTTCGCGTTATCATATAAATCCAACGCCATTTTGCTGTCAAAAGTCTTTGCCGAAGATATCGTTTTATGAGTAACGTGTTCCAAATCAATATCCTCTTCCACCTTCTCTTGCAAATCGCCTGAACCAACTTTTAGGCCGCGTTCACTTAGGCCGGATTTCCAGAAAGCGCATTCTAGGTGACCGCTTTTCTACATGTAGAAAAGCGATTTTTGTAAAAAAACAAAATTTCACGTTTCATGACAAAAGAGGTCATGAAGCGTTTGATTAAAGGTGAAATTAAGGACGATTTTTTTGTTTGTTGATCCCCAGACAAACCCTTCGATCTGAAAAATCCCACTACATAAACCAATCATCTCATCCTCACTTTTGCAAATTGTTGATACTCAATCCTTTCTTTCAATCCTTTCTCGAATCGAACTCAATCAGGTCTTTGTACCAGCGT